AGCATCCATTCACATAGACTTTACACATAAATCCACATCCACTCACATAGGCATTACACATAAATCAGCATCCATTCACATAGACTTTACACATAAATCCACATCCATTCACATAGACTTTACAGATAAATGCACATACCATTCACACGTAACTGGAACACTGCATTTATATACACTAGCATGGTATTATACACTTACATAATACACTACGTTTGTTTGTAAGGTGGAAACATTTGGAGGCATAGTCGATCGTGTTATCAAATATAAGCTGGGTTACAGCACAGACGATGAAGTTTATGAATACTATAAGGAAATGGGACAAGAAAAGGTACATCAATACATTTTTACAACTACTATAACTACTAGTATAACTACTTAATTAAATACGAGACCTTAACGAGAACATCGTCTGTATGCTACATGTATATAAAAAACAATGCATACTCACACGATTTATGTGTTCATTGGAATATACATCATTCGACAATAACCTTATTCCATGTACAGAATAACATTTTACAACTCTTTGCAGGAGATTTATGCTAATGCCTACCCGATGCATATTCATAAATACGAACTGTTGAGTCCTATAATGGCTAGATTTGTCAAGATATATCCTACGGAATGGGAGAACAGCATATGCCTTGCCGTGGAACTGTATGGATGCTTGGATGGTAAGTATCTCTTTCATCAACTATGATAGCGAAACGTTTTTCTCATCATATGTTATATCATTGGTAACTTGACTTACTCTTCACTCGACAGGATTGATAAAACCGACTTGTGATGACTGGTTAGCCGGCGGATTCAATAACAATTGGTATTGGATTGGGACGATGGATAACTATACGAAAGATTTTTGTGGTATTGTGTACACTTTACATCATATTTTAACCTTGACACTTAAACTTTAATATTTACAGCACGGTTTTCTGCATCAATTATTCGGGTAAGTACCCAGGTAAGTATTCATTAAAAGCATTGTTCCAGATACAAAGGTAAGTGTGCACTATGGTGGCTAACTAGATCAAACCCCATACAATGGATACCACAACTATCGCCCAGATCGCGAAAAAGTACGCCCAAGCCCCGCTTGCGCTGACAAAAATTTAACATGGCCCCTGCCAAGTAAGTCCAACTGCGCATGCGGTTTCCAGTTCTGTTTCATTGCCAGGAATGGTATACAGGATTGGTATGTAACACTGATGATCCTGTTAAGAATGACGATGTACAATATATAGAATGTAGTGTTGATGAAGATATTCCCTTTAATGGTACGTACAAGAAAACACAGTTTGAACTCCTGGTTTCAACTGATTATATGCCGGTCTATTTTGATTGGTATTTACATTGCAAAAGAAATTCGACGATGACGTCATGGTCGACATAATGTGAATTTTTGTGGATGATATAATATTTGTGACTGGATGCATAACGAATAATGCATCGCCCATTACGCGAATTATGTTATGAATATAATACACTGTAACCAAAGGCATGTTCATTACAAGGAACGTACAGATCCAACAAAATGGAACAATACTTGATAATTTAGCCTCTTGTATAAACTTAATTTGATTTTATTCCATTTTAAATTAGGAGTGGTACAAGACATAAGGAATAAATGTACAAATATATACACTGAGAAGACGCCGACTATGGATGAAGATGTTTTTGAAATTCCACTTTTATTAAGTGCGTTCTGACTTGTACTTTCTATGGAAAAATACATGATGTGAAATTTTGAATTTGTGTGAAATATTTGTTATGGACTAAATCACCAATGTATGGCCTTCCGATTCATTATAATGTATATAATCCATCCCCTCGATGTCGATGGAGAAATGAAAACTACATTTTGATAAATTACCGGCAAACCCAGATTTCCCGCGAGCATGGTAACACAGCGTGGTCACTACACGAGTTGAAGGAAGCGGTCAACGAGGAAATTCAAGCCAGACAAGCAGGTACCCCCATAGAGTACTTCAATGATAATTTCTCCAGTGAAAGGTGTCTACCCTCTATAACATCCTTTCATGTTGGGTACAAATCTTCGAAATCTACGGTCGCTAAACCCACGAGATCCTTCAAGTGCGCCTACTGCAAAGGGCCACACTCTACACACGTCTGTGAAATTGTAATTCGTTCAAGTTGTGCTATTCGTTTAATTAGAGTGTTCGCGCCGCGTCACATTTTTCGTTAATTGATATTGTATCAATACATTTTATATTTCTGTTTATAACCTTATTACTTACGATTATCTATCTGCTCAACCGGCCGGCCCCGAGTGTCGGAAAATGGGTTATGTCTTTGGCGGCATAGGTAAAGAGAACAGATGCCTAACCATATGTCGTCTCTACGACTTAAGTATTATGCAACATCCTGTTACCCTACAATTTCTGTTTGCACAAATGTTGACATGTAACAGTATATAGATGCTTAGTTTTAACATAGACCCTCTAACAATGGTTTTAACGATTAAATCAGTTGCTACTTTGTGTTCTAACTAGGCACACCTCGTCTTTGTCTCCCCTACTCCACGACCCGAACCTTTCCCTACACAATGACAGAAATTGAGGAGTTTGTTAAAACAGCAAAAATGACTAGTTTGTAAACGACCTATCCAAATTACATCACACAGAGTTGTCATTTGAAAATCGAAGTACACATTTACTTTTAATTTGCGGCTCGAAGAATTTGCTCATGCGTAGTTGACCCTACAGTTCTGGTCCTATCAGATGTGTTCATTTGTTAATATATTCATTTTGTTTTCTTTCCTATTTACTGTGTGGTTACAATGATAAGGTTATATAAATAGGCATGTATGTGCAAACTTGTCATCCATTTCTTAGCAGCACCCACCCGCCCATTGACAGTCGGGACACTGTGCAATTGGGATTAATCTGCCGACATTTACCATGTTGGGGCAGCTATCTTGAATATGACTTTAAATTAAATAAAGAGACAAGTTGAGAAACGGGTTTTCAGTTTCCTATAAATCAGGGAAAACACCAAACTTTCCTAGCTAAGCGATCCGCTTGGGCAACATTGAGCCAGTCGCTAAAAAAATTCGGCCGAATACGTCGTTTTAGTGTGGGAAAAATCCGTTACATATGAACATCTAATTCCACAAGGAACACTTTCCATGGTTCATTGAACAGAAATCGTCATCTAATTGTAAGACGGTCGCTGATTTTCTCCTGAGTTGGGAGACGACTGACTTCGGTATCAAAAACATTTCATAGTTTGGTGATTCACTGGCATTTCTGTTTTTTATTTATTTATCTTTGTTTACAAATCAACCCCGAAAAACAAAAACAACAATTATTTTCTTTGTGAATTAAAATAGACATATTATTAACATTTGTTTGTAGTAACGCTGCATAAGAAACCGAGGCATTTTATTTGATGTAATGTTGCTTATATTCCCTTAGTATATACTGTCAATTATCTTAGAAACACACTTATCTTCTGTTATATTAAAAATGTTACTCACATCAACAAAAAATGCCAATGTCTTTGGTATTGAAAAGAACTGTACGTTCATTATTTATTATAAAAACACTGTTACTTACATAGATCATAGATTACTGCTAGACACCATATAAAATGCGAAGGTTGGTGATTCTTTCGTTTCCCGTGTCATAAATTGCTGTTTCACCAAAATTCACACATTTTTTATTTGTTTTCCCTCTAAAAATCTATTTTGTCCCTCAATAATTACGCCAATAACACTGGTAATGAAGGGTTTGGATAGATAAGTAGTATTTTACCACCATTGTTTTTTAACCTATGTCAGAATTGGATCTTATTGTCACAGCCTCTGTGCTAGCACATTCACATGACGACTTTTTGTTAAAGGGCGATAGTCGTCGCGCCATATAAGCGCGAGATATATGGTCTCATATTAACAAAGATGGCGACAGAGTACAAACTGAGACGTTACCAAGCTTTAATTATGTATTCTTTTAGGTGATTGGAAATTATCGAAGGAGTCACCGGCGGTAATTTGTGCAAGTCAAACCTCATACTTGTGATTTCCATTAGAAGAGTGCATTGAATTATGGGAAAATCAATGTTTACCAACACAAATGACACACATGCGCAGCGCGGTGACTACCGCCCTTTAAAGCGGGAGTGTCGTCACCTGCGCACGCGCGGGAATTGAGTCTCAAGCGACGATAACAACACACGCTAAAAACGCAAAGGCCCATGTATAGACGCTTGTTTGTAAACAATGACACGCTATGGCAATCTGACGCATGCACAGGTGACCACTCACCACGCTTTAAATCCAAGGTAATCCAATTCTATATTACATGGATTAAACCTAGGTGGCACAGCAAACCTGATTTCTATTGTTGTTGAGTTGTTTATTCCTCTTTACAAAGTCTATCGTTGAAACGCGATAGTTGTAAGTGCCCAGTGATATGAAAATTACTCGTCAAAATACTTTGGTTAAAGATAGGTATAGAGCGCCCTCATTTCTGGGGAGTTTGAAATTGACAATGCTATCTTTCAGACATAGCCTGGATTGTAAAATCCAAAAAGTAGAATCGAAAGTCGAAAAATTAGTTACAAAGTTCAACAGTTAGCTGAAAGTCAATAAGGTTTTGTAGAAATTTGAGATATTGGTTTCAGAACTGCGCCTGCGTTTGAGTCAGAGCATGGACCGATTACATGACACATATATCACGCATCCCACCATACATGGTTTTGTATAATGATTCAATTAAATATGGTCAAATATGAGCAGGGTGGGGTAATACAAATACTCATGTGCAGACTATGAATATTCAATTAACCTGCAACAGAATCTAATTAGGTACACAATGTGACACAAAATATACCACATGTACTAGACATTGTATGCTATGGCAACACTAGCAATACAAATCACAAGAGATTGTATTCAATGGCAATGCTTCCATCACAGCATACAGCACATTGTATTCTATGGACAATGCTTCCATCGCAGCATACAGCACATTGTATTCTATGGCAATGCTTCCATCACAGCGTACAACACATTGTATTCAATGGCAATGCTTCCATCACAGC